GCGCCCTCGGGCCATGTGACGTTGGGCATCTTGCCCACCATGGAGCCTCCACACTCCGCCTGCTGGCCGCCCACTACCTTCGGCTTGACATTGAAGGTCTTCAGCCATAAGCCGAAGTGGGGTGTGATGCGGAGGAAGGCCTCGCACACAACGATAAACGCTGAGATGTTGAGGATGAAATTTGGGGCTAGATCGTGGAAATCCAGGCCGTAGTAGGACATGAGCCCCCAGACAAATGGGTGGAGTGGGAAGCCCAGTCCGCAGAGGAAATTGGGAAGGAACACCACCCTCTCATGGGGCCTGGGGGTGGGGACGAGCTGCCCCTCGTCTGGAAGCCGGTGCGCAATGTCGTTGTGCAGGTATCCGACTTTCCTCAACCTTTTGATGTGCCCCTCCGTGACGGAGGAGGCCATCCACTTGCCTCCCGCTCCGGACATGGCTGGGGAAGGTCGAGGCGAGATGTGCGGACTTGGGCACTAGAGCTCGAGTGCGCGGAGATGGATAAGCAAAGGAGGAAGAAGGCGTAGGTAAAAAGGTGGATCCTTATCCCCTTATATGGACGGACGAAAACTATGCGTCCCCACCAGCCTGGTAAAACTCGCTTATCTCCCAAGCGCCGTAATCAATGGCGCGGTTGGGTTACCCACGCCCGTATTGATGAGAATCCCGGAATAAGGGGACACGATCTCTGCTTTAACAAGACGTGCCAAGGAAACCGCTTCGCTAAACGCGCTGAGGTGGAACAATAAAAACAACTCAAATAAAGGCTTGGCCGTGGTGTGATGTCACGCCGCGAAATACGTCAACAGATTGAACTTGTGTAAATATTATTCTCTCTACGATGGTACGTGGAACTTATTTTGTAGAGCCGGACACTATCTTGGTGTTCAAAATCTTCTATGAAGTATTCGGAAGAGGAACCCGCCTTGCAATGCCGAAGACAATATGCGCACCGGACTCGTCGTCATTGAAGCCTGGTTCAGGGGCTACTGAGGGAGTCCTGGACTAGGGGGTGTCCGGATAGCCGAACTATCATCTTTGGCCGGACTCCAAGACTATGAAGATACAAGATTGAAGACCCTGTCCCGTGTCCGGATGGGACTTTCCTTGGCGTGGAAGGCAAGCTTGGCGATACGGATATGTAGATCTCCTACCATTGTAACCGACGCTGTGTAACCCTAGCCCTCTCCGGTGTCTATATAAACCGGAGGGTTTTAGTCCGTAGGACGAACAACAATTAGACCATAGGCTAGCTTCTAGGGTTTAGCCTCTCTGATCTCGTGGTAGATCTAATCTTGTACTACCCATATCATCAATATTAATCAAGCAGGAGTAGGGTTTTACCTCCACCGAGAGGGCCCGAACCTGGGTAAAATCATAGTGTCCCTTGTCTCCTGTTACCATCTGCCTAGACGCACAGTTCGGGACCCCCTACCCAAGATCCGCCGGTTTTGACACCGACAGACCCACTCGCGAGCAGCGCGTAGGGAGGCATGCAGCCCGAGGTTGACCGCGACCATGAGGCCAGGGCCAACCTCGACCAGGAACCTAGCAATGGCGGGGCTCGCGACCTGGACATGGAAGACCATAGACGAGGCACGTGTGGCCACCGGACTCTCGTGCTCCCCACAGAAAAAGTACTCGAGCAGGCGCGCGACCCCCGCGCCCGAGAAGCACAACGCTTTGAACGGGATGGAAATCCATAGGGAGTCGGACCGGGACAGGGAGGGGAAGGCGACGGGGTCGAAGACGACGCCCGACATGAAAGAAGCCAAGGCACGAGCATGAAAGGATATACCTCGACGGGGGACAGTAGGGCATGCGGCGGGTCGACGGGCGGCGACATTGGGGCGAGCAAGGAGGTCTGGTCGACAGCCAAGCGACAGCACGGGCTGGGGGTGGGTGGCGGTGGCAAGG